GTTAGGAAGATTGGAAAAAAAGGTGGCATATGTGTATCGCCTCTAATGGTGACTATTTTGAAGGGAATAAAATAAATATTGAAGAATAATTAACCGTTTTTGTTGTTTGAGCCAGTCTCGTTTATATTTGAGCAGAAGGTGTATATAATTTATGAAGTCTCCGACGTTTTTTTCTGGGTATAACAGACTTCGTGGCAAACTTAATATACGCTGTTCAGGGTATAAATATGATTACATGATAAAAGAATGAAAAAGCTACTACAACAAAAGCTGATAATTTGGTATCGATTTAAAGGAAGGCACATTTTTTGAGAAAAATTCCATTTTATTAGTCAATATGGTTGCCATCGAAATCGATACATCCATTTTAACGATCTTCGCATTTTTCCAACAAGTTCGCCCTCAAACGTTTCTATATCAGTACGGTGTTTACAGTTATATTTATCCTCTTTTCCCCCAAAATAATCTCTAAAAATTATTCCAGGCTTCTCCTAAAATATTGACGCCATAACTTTGCCATCTGTATATAGGATGCCTTTACGCTTCAGATTCGGTTCAATGCTTTCAGTCTTTCAGACTATCGATTTAACTCCAGGTTTAAATGACGAGGCCATGCTTCCCCCTTTGTCGCACACTGATGCGAAAGTTCGGATTTATTACAATTGAACAGCTCCAAGCACTTTTTTCAAGTAAATTTAATAAGAACAAAACTTATTAAAGTTGTTCCCATTTATTTATTACTGGCCCGTCGTCGCAAAACCTGGTGGACTCATTTCTGGAGAAGAGGACAGGTATTTTTTTGTGTGGATGATTAAGAACCAACTAACGCTCGAGCAAAAGATGAGCTTGGAAAGAAATGCACTGCTTATCCACCGTTATAATAAGGGGAATAGGTTAGAGTTAAATTGTTTGCCGTGTGGTAATTGTAGAAAATAAGAGGAGGGTCGAGATATGGAAACATTTTGGAAATTCTTTACCACTTTTCCGCTTTTCGAAATTTCAGCTAAATACTTTGGATTTCACACCTTCAGTTATTTAAGTGATACAGCACAACAACACAAAAGAATTGTTCGTGCTAAAAAAATATCAAGTTACAAATCAACCTTTTCGTTTCTTACTCTTTTGAACAGTAAAACATTGCCAAATTCTTTGTAAATATTTTAATATAATCGTTAACAATAACAATAACTAGCTTGGTTCAACAACAATTTCGAAACATTTTTACATATTTCTTGCAATAAATTTAACAAATCAGTTCTTCAGTAAGGCAACGGTTCAGTCCTCCGTTTTAAAACCCAACTTAAACACGGATGATGGAAGAGGGCAAGTAGGCGTTACGGGGAGCATGCACTTCGGGTGCTTGAACTGGAGCTTGAGATGCGAAGTTGTGCACTGGGGCAACANTTGGTCAAATAATCGCGTACAAGACGAGACGTATGAGCTGGATTTTGGAACAAGTCGAGCAGACACACGTCTCATGCCCAAAACATCGTGAATAATGCTATGAGCGGATCGATTTGATATGTTGAGCTCACTAGCTATCTCTCTTTCAGTCACACGACGATTTTTCAACACAATTTTCTTTACTTTTTCGACGTTTTCTTCGTTTATCGACGTTGCTGGACGACGATCATGGGGCAAGTTCTCCAGCGATGTACGGCCGTCCTTGAACGACTTATACCAATCAAAAATACGTGCACGGGATAGGCAAGATTCTCAATATGCCTTCTGCAACATTTTCATTGCGTCCGTCGCACTTATTCCATTGGAATAACAAAATTTCAAACAAACACTTTTTGCTCAACGTTAATTTCCATAGTAAAATTCGAAAAACACACTCGAAGTTGACTTGTTTATAGTGCCTTAAAAAAAAACTATGTGACAGATCGCGCTCAAATTTGACATGTAAACATATAACAGTCCTGCCAACCTAAGCCATATGTCATGTCCTTGTCGAGTTATGGATAAAGTCTCGTTTTGCGTTGAGCAGAAGGTATAAATGATAAACAAATTTATACGGCAACGCGAACTAGTCCTTCAGTTTTTGAGATATCGTTCTGAAATCTTTCTCCCCAAGAAGCGGCTCATTTCAGTCAATCTGTCAGATCAATGTTCAGTCAATCTGTCAAATTTGAACTTATTACCATGTGCACTCTCAAGAGACACACCTAGTGCGACAGCATAGAAAAGAGACGGTTTTTGGAAAATAAAAATTAACTACTAAATCGAATGTTTTCTAATTATCAGGGTATATTAATGTGCTGATCTTTATAGGGTCTACGACGTCTCCTTTGTGGTGTTACGAACTTAAAATACCCTGCTAAGGGTATAATTAAATAGTTTTCGTGTTACGAGCAATTTCAGACGTCGCTAACAAAAATCTCTGCTATTGCTGCAATGATTCCGGCCTTCTGCTTGGATGAAATCTAAAACAAAAATTTCTATTAGAAGACATTATTAAGTATTTGTCTTATATCGGCCAGGTTGAAAGTAGCAAACTGGTAATGTATGGTAAATATTGAAGAAAAGAAGAGTGTTCATCGAATATAAATATTTGAATGACTCATTTTTAAGTTTCGGAACTCCAAGGCTAATCTGTTATATTGTGTTCCAAATGTGTCTAACTCTATTTCAATCTCTATCCGTTTATGTCTTCTCTTTTCGCGCAGATGTTACCATATTTCTCGTATTCAAATGTACGTAGATATACATATATGTACATACATTCTGTGCTAAATGCTTGAATTCTTGCATTCTGTAAAGCGATCATCACAAATGAAATTTAGTCTTTAATCTTTATACTAAAACCATTGACTTTGTTGTAGTTGTATACTACTTGTACTTCGTCCGATGAGCATCGTTTCAAAATAAAATTTGCATAAATAATTTCATAATTCAGCTAAAACACAGGAACTACATAAGTAATATTATGTGTGAATATTGTGATGGTTAACTAAAGATGACGCAGCAGACGCATTAATACGGTTTGCAAAATAGCTATTGATTTTCTGTATGTTGATGAACTTTTTGCCGCTTCCTCTTATTTACAAGGTCTTGCATTTGCTCATTATGTTGGTAAGAGATTTCAATGTGCTTTAGGTAGAAGCTGCTAACGCAAACATACGCATTAACTGTAGTTTTGTTTATTATTGGTTTTATATTTAGAAGCAGATCACAACGGTGTAGTATATATAGCACGTTTCAAAATTGGTCAAATCAGAAACAAAACATTCTTCAAAGCAAAAGAACTTCAAGATGCGTGCATTCTTTGTAAGTTTTAGAAGTGCTAATTTTAATCAAATTTTGTATGACACCGTCTACATTTCCGGATTATGAATAATAAATTTTATTTAATTTTCATGCTGCTGAAGACCAAACCGCCATCTACGTTTTGCAGAAACAAAGTGATATCGGAGACTTGGCTAATAAACTCAACTCTATCAACAGCCAGAGCGCCCACAAGCCCGAAGTACACTTCGTCAAGTATCGTACTCCAGAGGATGCTGCCAACGCTCAACGTGCTATCCAATCACAATACGACCAATTGGGTGGTAACTCCCAAGCTCATGATGGTGGTGTTGCCCCAGTGCACAACTTTGCATCTCAAGCTCCAGTTCAAGCACCCGAAGTGCATGCTCCTCGTAACGCCTACTTGCCCTCTTCCATCATCCGTGTTTAAGTTGGGTTATAAATCGGAGGACTGAACCGTTGCCTTACTGAAGAACTGATTTGTTAAATTTATTGCAAGAAATATGTAAAAATGTTTCGAAATTGTTGTTGAACCCGGCTAGTTATTGTTATTGTTAACGATTATATTAAAATATTTACAAAAGAATTTTGATTTGTGATTTATTGTCTTCCCCTCAGTGCTAGACGGAAAATGTTATTTTTGGCACGGTTAACTTTTTCATCTATCCAAAGTGTTGATAGAAGTCACGAATACTTTTGTCAGAGTGCTTGTTTTACACTTCAGTTTAGCGAAGTTTTTAAGGCTTTTAATGCACCATTATAAAATATAGTTTTTTCCAGTTTTAATTTTTTTGTGCCTCAGGAAATGGAGCTTATATCATAAAAGGTTTTTTACAGAAAGGTCAAGCCCTTTTTTGATATAGTTAAGTACAAATAAATACCAGATTGTGTAGGGTACCACAATCAACATGATCTGCCAAAAACAGCAACAAAAGCATGTCCTAATTTTCACTATTTCAATACTATAAAAATAATTTTTATGGATTTAGTTGTTTTGGAAAATTTATAGCCTGAACAAATTGTTTTTGTTGCATATAAAGTCACTGTTCGGGCAGCGCGTCAAGTGTGAAGTGTCAGCGGCGTCCCTTTAAGTCTGACGAAACGAAGAAGTTAACACGGTCGAGTATGTAAACGAAGTATGCCAGTTTTTAGTAAAGTTGCAGGCACCTTTAATATAATTATGAATTCATAATCGCTCGCAGATATTAAATAAAATTGTGATATAAAGGCCATAATTCCATAATGTGCACATTTACATTCAGCGATATTTAAATGAAGAAGTCATTATGTCAAATGCGCAGCAATCGTTTTTTTGTATACGAAATTTACGTACATATTCATTTGAGAGCCTTTCGTAATATTTTATACCCAACGCTTAGGCCAAAGTGGTAGAGTATTTACAAGTATTAGAGTGGTTAATGTGTATATTGCAGATTTAATATTGAAGACGATATTCAAGATGGACCAGTCCAGGAACTATTCGGGATTTGTTTATTGTAAATATCTTAATACTGCTTTGACAGTTTATTAGGTTAGTGGAGATCTTATGATATTTTCATGTTATTCTACAGTGTATACTAAGTTTGCCACGAAGTTTGTAACAACCAGAAAGAAACGTCGGAGACTCTATAAAGGGTATATGAGTAGCTGCTATCGGACCACTATAAGATAAAGCTACCATACAAACTGATCGATCAATATTTATTTAATGTGTGGAAATCCTTTTTGTTTGATAAGTTAGTTGTCGAAGTTTGGCACAGCTTATTGAAAAAAGCAACGCTACAATTTCCGAATGTATAAATGTAAAATTTACGAAATTTTTCGAAATTAATCTCTAAATAAAATTAATAAAGTTTTGACTATGTCAGATGCAAAAGATGATTTGTTAAAATATGAATCTTACATACTGGCCTAAGTGATAAAGAGTTAATTTAAATTATATTAATATCTATATAAAGGCGATTATCGACATACCTAAGCGGGCACTGAACACCGATTTTTTTTTGTGTTTTCTCATCCAACTACCATGCGTGCTGGCAAACTCTCTCATTATCTCCGGTTAAGGCCTGCTGTTTTAGCTCTAACTTAGTCCCTCTCACAATCATAGTACTCAAAAGCAAACATAAAATGGAAGGGTATGAAGAAGTATGCCATGAAAAAAGAGAATAGTAGTATTCACTACAAATTATATTTTGTACGTTGGGTATAAAAATTTGAGAGCGCAGTGTGAGACCAATATTGATTTCTTTTCTTGTTGATATTAGTTTCAATGTATTTTGATCTCCCGCTGCTTCCTTTGCCAGTTACACGCTTATCGTCTGTTTTTTATTTTTATTATGTTATTATTAAATATTATATTATAATATTAATGGAGGCTATGGCAGCAATGTAACTTGACATTAACGGCTATCAAGATGCCGTATTTTCATATTAAATAAATAAATTTTCAATTTTGTGTGCAACTTGACACGGAAGGTTGTAGAGCGACTGCAATAGAGAAAATAATGCACACTCAAACTAAAAGGGCAACAATAAGAATAAAACAAAAACAAAATAACGAGGTTTTCGATTTAGAATTATGGCCTATATGAACTTGTAGCCGAATTAGGCAGTTTGAGGTATGTACACGTGGGTCACTTTGGTGGTTTTAGACTTGCACCTGCTCGTTTGAACTCAAAACACAGTGTAGTAATATATAAGACTCGTCAATTTAAATTTGTAGACATTTTAAGTGAACAGCTCATGTATGAATCAAAGGTCGAGGAGTCAGAAGAATACTCAAAAAAAAAATGCGTGCGTTCATCATTTTATCTTTGGCTGCAGTCGTGTGCGCCGATGTCGGTTACAATTATAAAGCTGGTGGTGGAAGTCCTGCTTTAGGAGGACACATCGGTGGCGGTTCTAGGGGTTTGGGTACACAGGATGGTTCCAGCTTGGGTGGACACGGCAGTTCGATCGGATTAAGTGGACTTGGCGGTTTTGGTGGCTCCAGCGGTTTGGCCAGTATTGGCGTGAGCAATTCAGGTCTCGGTGGTGGTTCCAGTGCTCCAGTTTCGGTCAGTTCAACTGCTCCAGTCACATACGAAAAAGAATTTTACACCTTCAGCGCTCCCGAAAATGAATTCAATAATGATAACGCTGAGCAACAAATTGCCAGTGTTAAGAAAAATTTGCGCGTAGTTTTCATTAAAGCGCCTGAAAATAAGGGCCTTGAGAATGCCGCGGTACAATTAGCCAAACAGGCAGCTGAGGATAAGACTGCCATTTATGTGCTTACCAAACAGCCTAACATCGGCAATTTGGCTCAACAACTACAAAACATCAAGTCGCAACAGCGCAATAAGCCTGAAGTACACTTTGTCAAATACCGTACACCTGAAGATGCCGCTAACGCCCAGAAGACCATTCAATCGCAATACGACCAATTATCGGGCAAGTCACAGGCTCATAACGGTGGTGTGGCGCCAGTATTGAACTTCGCTTCTCGTGCTTCAATTGCTCAAGGTACCGCACCTAAAGCGCCAGCAAATGCCTACCTGCCTTCATCGGTTCTGCGCTTATTACGTGTGTAAGAAATTGTAGAAAGATTGTTTGTTGTTTAGATTGGAATATATGAATGTAAACTGATTGCTTTAATTGTTATTGATTATTATATATTATTGTTATATTAAAATGTGCTCAGAAATTATTTATATTTTTTAATTTATTCTCTTTTTTTTTCTTTCTAGTAAAATTTATTTTCACTTGTAGCATTTGAGTAGCGTTAAGTCTCATATTTCATATTAAGGGCTTTTAAAGTAGATTGTTGACTGAATCAAAATAATAATAGCCCCAAGAATAATTTAAGAACTTCTTTTTTTTAAAGGTTTGAACAAATGTTGGACGCATTAGGTAAGTGAATAGAGAGCAACATTATTGTGGAAAAGGTACAAATCTGTTTGGTACAACTGCAAAATGGCTAAGAAATTTACACAAAGTGATCGAAAAACTTTGAAGAACTAAACATTATCGTCCATACTGACTAAGTGGACTTTGACTTAACTCAATTTCAGTGTTTGCATTTCTGTTTTTACGAACATCAACTGAATATCAACTGATTTTTTCGATCTAAGTTCGTGTGGTATTGGTAGAATAATCACTATCAATAGCGATATCAGCGAAACTGAATCGAAATATGTGAGCAATAGTTTCCAGCGAACTGGAGAAATAAACTTCCATGAGCAACAAATTAGACATAATATATATTGTATTTAGTAATGCCTAACATTTGCATCATTAATTATTATCACTTGAGTCAAAAATGAAGTATCTTCCAAAGCTTAAGAGTTAAACACTATGGCAACAGTAAGCTCGATATAAAGTGTCAATAAATCTTCGCGAACAAAATACTGTATATAAAATATACACAAATTTTTTTAAGCAAACATTTTTGTAATGAGAAACGTCCAATTTAGATTTGCTTTTTGCACTTACTACGAAAGTTCAATAACCCTATGAATTTGTATACATATCTATGTAAATTTTTGCTTTGTTTCTGAGTTTCCTTCAGCTCTATGCGAACGTTTAATTTAATATGGACGCATTATCAAATTCGCTACCAACATTTAGCAGATCAAAGACAAATTTCGGAATTAATGAAAATGCGAGTGGTCTCCAAAGTATAAAGCCTGATTTATTGGACAGTTATTGGTAAGTAGAGCGCTAATATCAAATAAAAATTGTTGCTAGTTTCTTCACAGTTTTCGGTGCTTGAGATTATAATTGAACGCGACAAAGAGGTGTTGCTTTTGTTTTCAAAGATAATTTAGAAATAAATTGCAGCAATCAAATGCATTTGCAACCTCGATACAGCTTTAGAGTATAGGAATCCACTCGGATTCGTATAAATGTTGCCGAATCAGAAGGAGTCAATCAGTTCAAAGTTAACCTTTGAGAGCTAAATACATCTTCAATTGTTTTAAAAATTAAATAAACAGTAACTAATACAAAATGCGTGTTTTTATCGTCGCCTGCCTGATCGCCGTTGCCTATGCGGACAAACTGGGCTACAATTATCGTCCTGTGGAACACTCGGACAGCGGACTTTCCTTTTCACCAGGCGGCAGCAGTGGCGGATCGGGTGGTGTTGGCCCAGCCGAGTCTGGTCCTTCGTACAATGCACCAGCTGCTGAATATGAAAAGGAATTTTACACATATACTGCCGATGAGAACGAGTTCAGCGAACCAGCTGACAATGGTCGAGTAGTTGAATCATTGAAGAAAAATTTGCGTGTCATCTTCATCAAGGGACCTGAAGGCAATGGCTTGGAAAAAGCTGCCGTTAATCTGGCAAGACACGCTGGAGAAGAGAAGACCGCTATTTATGTGCTGCAGAAACAAACTGACTTGGGCGATTTGGCTAACCAATTGCAGACACAAAACGATGTGCAACGTAGTAAACCCGAAGTACACTTCGTCAAATACCGCACGCCCGAGGATGCGGCCAATGCTCAGCGCGCCATCCAACAGCAATATGATCAATTGGGTGGAAAGTCTCAATCGCACGATGGTGGCGCTGCTCCAGTTCACAACTTTGCATCTCCCGCAGCTCGGCCAGCACCACGTCCCGTTAGCGCTCCCGGTGCTGCTTATCTGCCATCTTCAATTCTCCGCTTCTAAGATGTTATGGAGTAACTGGTAATTACTATGACTTCGAAAAGCTACAGACTGATGTTTTTACTGATTGTTGATTAGTTTTAATAAAGAATATTTTAAAATTTTACGCAGAAATGTATGTTTTCTTACTGTACTTCTTTCTAAAAGTCACTTCCAATCTAAGTGGTTACCTAATATACTATAAATTAATACAAAATGTATTTAAAAAGTCCGTAATACAGATTGCTTTCGTATTGACATTGGTAAATTACACTACTCAACAAATCTGAAGGAAAAATTTGAGACTGCTGCGCTAAAAGATCTGTTTGGGTATTTGAGGTGTCCTGATTACGAATTTGACTTCAAAACTGTTCCATCACGTACAGCTATTTTGTCAATTTAGTAAATTGTGGTGGTTTGAACCCTACAACCCTTAACTACAAAGCAAAAAATCCTACGTGGTAGGAAATTTTTACTATCATTTTCAGTTTAACAACCCAAAACTTGTAAGAAACAGCCTCTAACGTCACAGTCGGAAAATGACTGTAAACTAGGTCAATACATTTGACCCTTAGCACTTTTAAGTGACTCAGCTCAGACAACCACTCTACCCATTTCCGATGTCACATTTTTCTTCATAATATAAAGCTCAATTATTAAAAGAGATATGGAACTTGCTCTTGACACAAATAGCCTTCTTGCTTGTGACTGAACTAAAACCAGTCGGAGGATGTCTGTAGTTTCCCAATAAATTTAAGAATGTATAGTTTCACATAATACAAATCATTGATTTGATTTGTGACATTTTTCAGAGTAAGAACTGTGGAGTGTGTAAATAGTTGCGGTCGAATTAGTCCTCCTTTGAGTTCAGGCTTTTAGTTAATTTACCCAAATTATATATATAAATAAATGTATATAAATCTCTTAGGGATAACAACCAAAAAGTACGCAGATAAGCAAAATTTTTTTTCCAAATAAATTTTGTGCATAAAATGTTTTGTTTTTTACAAAAATACAAAAAAAAATGTATTACAAATGAGTTTATAGCATAAAAACAATAACAAATAACCTTAGAATTACATCTCAGAAAAACAATAACAACAACTCTACTTGAATTATTTTCGGATAATCGAAGAGGGCAAGTATGAAGCACCTGGAGCGCTTATTGGACGGGCAGCTGGTCGCGCGGCAGGAGCTGAAAAATCATGAACTGGTGCGGTGCCACCATCGTGCGATTGAGAGTTCCCACCCAATTGGTCGTATTGCGATTGAATAGCGCGCTGGGCATTAGCAGCATCCTCTGGAGTACGGTACTTGACGAAGTGCACCTCTGGCTTATGACCTGTAAGGTCATGTTGAGACTGCAATTTGTTGGCCAAATCACTCAAGTCGGCTTGTTTTTTTAAAATATAGATGGCGGTCTTTTGTTCGGCAGCAAGTCTGGCAAGATTGAGGGCGGCATTCTCCAAACCATTACCTTCGGGTCCCTTAACGAAAACAACACGCAGATTTTTCTTCAATAAAGCATCCAGTTGTTCGCTGCCGGCGGGTTCATTGAAATCATCCTCATCAGCGCTGTAGGTGTAGAACTCCTTATCGAATTCAGCGGCGGGTGCCGAGTAAGAAGGTGATACTTGTGTGGCTGCACCTCCTGGTCCACCAAAATCATCCAGTCCACCGCTACTGCCACCTGGTGCAAACGAGAGACCAGCGTCTGAGTGTCCAACAGGCCGATAGTTGTAGCCCAACTTATCTGCACAGGCAACGGTAAACAGACAGAGAACGATGAAGGCACGCATTTTAAAACAGTCAAGGGTGGTGGTTTGAAATTGAAGGTAGTTGAATGATAACTCTGTAATGATTGTGTTTGAAATGATTAACGTACTTGTGTTGCCTAACTTTTATATGATCTTAAAATTGTTCTGCAGAGTTTTAGTTCTCGGACGTTCAATAATAAATTGCATTCGCACTAAGGTGAAAATGCATTTGGCAAAACTTCTTGGCGCCAGTAATTTGGCATCTTCGTGCGTGTGCGAAATGAAATATGCATAAATAATAATGAACTGAGCTGATATCAGTTATCTTTTCTCACACATTAATTGGCTTGTTAGCTGCTATTTATAAATCACAGTAAATTTATGGGTAACAAAATGTCAAATATTATGTTTAATATAAATGCTTTGCATAATCAATTCAAAATCTAATTTATTTGTAAATTATTATGTTTTACGTTTTACGCATTTAAAGTCCATTAAGTGTATTAAGGATTGTTACGTACTTTTTATTGCAAATTGGTAACCCAACATTTTCCTGTTAGCATTAGTTATTTGATCTCAAAATCAAACAAGAAAAGGGGGTTTCGATCACGTGACGTTGCTTACACGGCCGCACAAAAATTTGTAATCAGCCGCCTGTGAAATAAATGGCCTTGAGCTTATTTGTTTGCACAAATTCTCAAACCTATAAACCTAATTCTGAGCGAATTCCAAAATTTGTTTTATTATTTACTTTACTGACGCATTTTATTAATTTTCTATCGCTTTTAATTGCCTTGATTGTTTGCTCGGCCAACTGATCCGACCATTCAATGTTCCCATCTATAGATATACACGCGATAAAATAGATACAAACTTGTATGCAAATAAACCGGTTTCGCCAAATTCACTACGCTTAACGCTTCCTTCTGACGCTTTGTTGTTAGACGCCGCCGGTCAAAATTTATTTTATTATGCATTTTTTATAGCCGCTCTTAGTTGGTTGTGCGCATGAATGTGTTTTCACACAAACTGTGCGGGTGGAATGACCTCTAAAAGTCGCACCGGAAGTAGTCAGCCGCGTTGGTAATCGTTTGTGCTATCGGATATTGAGTGTCGGATGTTGCGATGCAATGTTTGACGTAAATTTGTGAGAACTAAACACACAGATAAACTGATGTAGAACATCTCCATGATGCTTTGATAATGTCTGCGAGATCTGTGAACGTGTTGGCCGTTAATAATTCAAAGGCGGTAGTACGTAGCGTCTTAGCCGATTTCAACGTCAAAAATATTACGAACTTGCTTTAAGTTATAAATAGCAGGCGGTATCGTTACATCTGTACTTATAAAGAGTGAATAATGACATGCTCACATTTGTAGTATATACAATTTTGCATATGCAATACTCTTCGACACATACATATATGATAAGTATACAACATATAATATATACATATATATATATGAACTCGTTTTTTCATGTCTCACATTGCTACAGATAATTCGCTAATTGGCCTTTTAACGCAGCGTGAATGATTGGTTGTTTAGCTCATTAGATTAATTGCTTGGCGCCATTCATTAGCGGTTTTTTCACAAATTAGAAAATTGTAAATACCGATTAAAACATTATNTATAGTTAATCATTCGTAGTTTCTCTCGAAAAGTGTAATAGTAACGAAAATGTATTTAAATGCTATTTAATAGTTAAGTTTAAAAAACGCTAGGTGTGGCGGTACCGAAGCTATAATACCTTCACAGTTGCATTTTTTATGACGTATAAGGGTATAAAAAGATCTGCATCTTTATTTTTATTGGTCCGTTTGGCTGGCCGCTAAACGCTATAGTGTTTCCAATCGGAACAATTTGGTCGCTGTCTTGGTAAATGATATATAAAAAATTTCTTAAAATTTAATTTGTCAAAAAAAAAATTTCCATAAAATCACTCGATTCCGATCGTTTAGTTTGTATGATTTATAGTGGTCCGATGTTGGCAATTCTCACAGATGAGCAGCTCTCAGAAGAAAAAAGGATGTATGGAAATTTTCAGATCAATATCTCCAAAACTATAGTTCTAGGGTCTAGTTCGAGTAAATAGAGACCGACGGACAGGCAGAGAGACAAACATGGCTTAGCCAACTCAGCTCGTCACGCATGATCATTTATATTTACACTTTAAAGGGTCTCCGACATTTCCTTCAGATTTTTACAAACTTCGTAGCAGGCTTAATATATCTGTTATTGGAGTATAAATAACTGTTTATGAATAACTGTTTGTATTTAAGCCCAGTTGATAGTTCTTGCAGAGAAAAAATATAACTAAAATGTCATATTTTTCGGAGCATTATATGTACGGGTACATATATTTTTTCCGAAATTTTTTAGTATAATTTTCGAGAACACTGCAGAACTTTTTGTTTTTATATCTGCTTCATTTGTAATTGATTTTCATTATAAAGCAAAATTTTGAACCGACTACACCCACTTATGGGACCAAATTAACTTATCCTTAAGAGAACATGTATGGGACTTTAGTAAGATTAATAGGATTTATGTATTCTATGCTACAGAATCATGTTAATTATACAAAATATTCTTAATACCTTTTACTATTTGAAACATGTATCTTATTTTTGTTAAGGGAATTAATCTGGTTCCGTTCAAAACATTATAGCCGGTCAAGTTGCTCGTGGATTTTACACTACGATGATTGATAATCATATACGAGACTATTTGAACAACAATAATGCAAATTTATTTTCAAAACCACCGTATTTATTTCATGTTATTTCTAGCGAATATTTTCTCTTTAAAAACTTCACGTAGCCATTTTTAGTAGCTGAGAAGGAATAAAGCAAAGTGGACATACTGAACCCTTAGTCTAAAATATGTTTCGAAATTCAATAAACACTTTCCTGTCGGCGTGGCGTACTTGGAAGGTAGCAGAATTGATTTGGATCAATAAATTTGAAGTTCAATTTTTATAAGTACATTTCAGAATAGCTATTTGAAATATATCGAATACTTGTATATGACAACAAAATTTATTTAATTTCACAAAAGAATCATGCCACAGTACTACAAGTATAATTTTTGTTGTGAGGTTCTCTGTTACAACCAAAAGAAAAACTCATCGAAAAATGAATTTTTTAATCGAATCGAACTAAAAGTGCAATTAATATACAATAACTTATAATTATTACAATAATATATAGCTAGATACACAATATATTTAGTGTGTGGTCCGGGGATACATAATACGAAGAAAACTCGGTAGAAAAATCAAAATTTTCTACTACATAATATTTTGACTGATTTGCCTCAATTACAAGAGGTATGAACGCATTTAATGAGAAATATACCAAAATACATACACACAGAGCTTTATGTCATAATTTCACAACAACATCAAAAACTGTGTTGCCAACTGCGAAGATATGAATAAATTTTACGCTCAGCTTAAATGCAGATGCTCGGAAGAATTAGCATATATATAACTATAAATATATGTGCACATTATTGTCATAAAATAAATGCCTAATTATGACAGTGGCAAAGAGATATTTGATTCGGCAATATTTGAGAGTTGCAAAAACAAATTATTCGTAATGAAACTTAATCCGAATGTTTAACCGATGTAGCAGCAGGCATATACGAAGCTGTGATAGCAAAATGATTAGATTATTATTTGATGTGTGCTCGTATAAATATGAAAAGTCGCGGACAAGAAATCATCATAAAGAAATAATATTTCCAACAAGTAGTAACAACGAAAATATAAAAATGCGCGCCTTCATCGTAAGTGGTAGTACTGTGGATACGCAAGTGGTCAAAAATAAAGCTTTTTTTAATTTTCCTCAGGTCCTGTGTTTAGTGGCTGCAGCCTCTGCTGATAAATTAGGATACAACTATCGACCAGTGGGTCACTCCGACTCCGGACTCTCGTTTGCACCAGGTGGTTCCTCAGGACTCGGTGGTCTCGGCGGCAGTGGTGGATTAGGAGGTATTGGAGGTCTGGGTGGATTGAGTGGATTAGGTAGCGGTGGCAGCCTTGGTGGACTAGGAGGAAGTGGTAGCGGTTTGGGAGGTCTTGGCGGTTCAGGTGATATCGGTAACTCCGGCAGCGTAGGACCATCATACTCAGCTCCCGCTGAATTCAATAAGGAATTCTTCTCCTACACCGCTCCCGAAGAAGAGTTCAATGATGCCGATGCCAGTCAGGATATTGCCAACTCACTGAAGAAGAATCTCCGTGTTATCTTCATCAAAGGACCTGAAAACCGTGGACTCGAAAACGCTGCCCTCCAATTGGCTAAACATGCTGCTGAAGACCAAACCGCCATCTACGTTTTGCAGAAACAAAGCGATATCGGAGACTTGGCTAATCAAGCTCTATCAACAGCCAGAGCGCCACAAGCCCAGTACACTTCGTCAAGTACCGTACTCAGAGGATGCTGCCAACGCTCAACGTGTATCCAATCACAATACGACCAATTAGGCGGTAACTCCCAAGCTCATGATGGTGGTGTTATTGGTGCACAACTCGCATCTCAAGCTCCAGTTCAAGCACGCGAAGTGCATTCCCCGTAACTCTACTTGCCCTCTTCCATCATCCGTGTTTAAGTGAAAACGGTATAACATACACTTGTTGTTATCTATTTTGTCTAATTAAAGGAACTGATTTGTTAAGTTTGTTATACGAAGCTTTGAACCAAGTTACGAATATGGACGACGCTTATTATTGTTATTGTTGCTAAATATAAATATTATATAATATATAAAAATGCGATTTTAATTCAATTTGATATGGTTTAATAAATCGTTTAAGATTCTAAATTGATTGACCCAAATTTTAAGGTTTACTTTAAAGTGAACTTTGCTTTGAAATGTGTTTAATACACAAATATTTAAGAAATTTATTGGGCATAGAACAAAGCAATAAGTTAATACTTCCATCAGGCCTTTTCAAAGAATGAGTAGAAAGAAGATCAAAATAGGAATCAAATCGATGTATTGTTAAAGCAGTTCGACTTCTTAATCAATAT